AGTAGCTTAGTAACCGCCAGAAAAAGCAGGTGGGTCTGGGGGTCCTGCACCTGACTCCCCAGGTCTACGCAGCAATGAGAGCCCCCGCCGGGGAAAGCAGGCTACCAGCCGAGGCTGGAGAGTACCTCCCAGCGCCCCATGTCCCCGGCCTCCCGAGCCCCCAGGCCGTCAGTGCCATGCGGGCTCCCTCACCAGGCCTCCTCTTCCCGGACGCGGCTGGGTCCCGGGGTGGACCCCCGTGGACTCGGCTCTGCTCCCACCCTTCCCCTCCCGCTGCTCCTGACCTCCCTTCCTTTTGGGGAGCCCCTACCCGCAGAGGTGGTCCTGCAGGCTGTCCATGCGCTCAGGGTCCCGCGAACGCTGGTAACGATGGCTGAGGCCCCCAGGCTGACAGCGGGTGCATTGCCATAGGGGTCACGAACACTCATCCGCGAGGAGCCCCGAACCCGTTCACGAAAATACGCACGAGTAGCTTCTCCATGTTACCCGTGCCGGTGCTCACACCACAGCTCACTTCACACGCGGCACATACTCTCACTGGCTGCTTCTCTCTCTGAGACTCGGGAGGTAAGGGACGGGCTTCCGTCCGCCCCTGTCCTCGGGCCATCACACAGGCGCTCTGCCCCCCAATTCGGAGGCGGTATTTCAGCCGGGCCCATGATGCATGTGATCCCTCCACGCGCCCCAGTACATCACACAGAACCATAGACACACGCGGGCCTTGAGTAAATCAGCCAGATGTCACTCACTAGTCCCCAACATCACCACCAAGGGAGGGGACGTGGCTACCCCTCCCGCCCCCTCTGCTCCTGGTGTCCCCAGACAGCGTGCAGGCCTCCGAGCGGGGTCACGGCTCGTCCCGGGCGCGGCTCTCCAATGCCATTTTCGGGGCCGAACGAGGCGGGAGGCTGGTGAGCGGCCAGGGTGCCTGTGGGAACATCAGCCTCGGCCTCGGCCGTTCCCAGCATGGACACGTGCGCGGCCCCCACCCCACCCCAGGCCTGGGCGCAGCGGTGCCCCCGGGGCTCTTCGGCTCAGATGCCTCCACCCAAGGCCGCGGCGAGCCGTCACACCGGAAAAGTCCCCTCCGTTCCCAGTCCTGCTATGTTTGAACTTGACAAACCCTCGGTGCTGAGATTCCCATAAAGGCTGGCGTGGGTTTTATTCAGATTCTTCATCACACCGGAAACAACAGTAAATATGATAAAGGAGCCTGTTATTTTCAGTGCCTTCCAATCCCACCCCTCCCGAAGGCACTCACACTCCCCCATCCCCTGATGCATCCGCTTATGGGTGGGGGAGACCCGTGCAGGGAGAGGGTGGGGTCACGGCTCAGCGGCTGGGTGGCCACGCGCGGGGCCGCGCTCCTCTCTGTGTCTCTCCTCTGCAGCCGCAGCTCCGACGATGGAGCCGGGCACGGTCCCCTGGCCCAGACCCGCCAGGAACAGCTTCCCGCGTGCAGGAGCCCCGCGGATGCCCGCCGAGCCCCCCCATCCCGCGGCGGGCCTCCCGCCAGCCCCTGCCTGCTGGCGCCTCGGGGACACGCACCCGTGCCATACAACCGGGAGAGGCGGTGGTGGGTTGTATTTTTGAGTCAACAAATATTTCCGACAGGATCCTAGTTCAGGAAGGGTGCGTGCTTCTCGATGCTCCATCCCTTGTCTAAAACCAGCGGGTGGCTGTAAGAAACCTGGTAACGCTCGGTGCCGCCTGCCAATCTCGTGACCATGACAGCAATTAGCGACGGGTGCACACAGCCATGTCAATTAATGGAAGGCCGTTAAGGGACCTGACGAGGTCACCTGTGCCCCTTCCCAGCCTCGGGTTCACACAATTACCCGTCCCTCTAAGAACAACCAGCTAACTCAGTACACGACATTGGGTCCCGTTTACTCTGTCAAACAGCCTGGCCCGGAGCAGCAGCCAAGGGCTCGCGGGCCGGCGATGGGGCTCGGAGCCCGGGGGCCGAGGCCGGCACACGGCAAGGGTAGCCGGCTCGGTGCCGATCCCACCCCCTGCAAGCGCTCGGTAGCAACTGTAAGAGAGGCTGTTGGTACCACACGGACCCATCTCACACACTCCTCTGCCACCAAAAGGATTTACAGACAGACTGAAACCTCCAGTCCACATTCTAGAAGCACATCTCGGCTTCTCCCTTCCATGCAGACTTCCCGGCCTGTGCCTGCCAGCGCCGGATCCCAACGCCGCCAGCACCTCGCCCCGCAAGGGGCCTGGCTTGGCCGGGCGTCAGCTCCCACCTCTCCCTGCTTCTTTTTAGCGTTTCTGTTGTTCTTCCTGTTACATTAGGCATCAACACAAAAGCCGTTAATCTGTGGGCAGTGCCGTAATCTGTCAAGTGAATAAAAGATTGGAGAAAAATGTATTAAAGTCTCTTGAAGAAGAAGGTGGGAAAGACTGTTATAATTCTAGTTGTTTCCCTAAACCCTTGTTCGGAGATGGAGCGTTAAGTAAGGACATAAAGGAAGGGCTTCCCTCTGCCCCTGCCCAAGCACCCCATCCCCTGGGTGCCTGCCGCGTGAGCGAAACGGCTGGGTTTTAAGTCTGCTTCCCGAGACCCCCAGTGCACATCTGCACACTGCATTCAGAAGCAAAAGACAGGCCCCTCTTATGTCCCAGAGGAGGGTCGGGTGGCCCCAGGAGCAAGCCCAGAAGGGGCCGCCCAGGCCCTGGTGTGTCCCCACTTCCCACACCGTGGCCATGTCTGGGGCTCTCTCTGGCCCTCTGGCCGCCTGAACCCGGCGGGACCTGAGGGCCGGGACCGTCCCACCAAGGGCTGGACCAGCCAAGGCTGCGATGGCCCATCTCGGTCACAGCCCTATTCATCTTCCCAAACGCTGGGAGGCCGACTGGCCAGAGGAGCACCGATCGGCGCACCGTGGCCTGCAGCTCACACAAAAGGCGCAGTGTGGACAAACGGCTCCCTGGGCCCCCCATTCTTCATCCCTGAAAAGCCAGAGTCACAGAAATGGCTACTTAATCAGCCCTTTTCCATTCCTCTGCAGACAGCAAGTCCCGACTGCTGGCCGGCCCGCCTCGCCGCCCCCCTCCTGCTGGCCAGCACACTGCTGGGGGGGGGGGGGGCAGCGCGTGTGGCCTGCGGACGGAGAGCAGCCCGGGGTCTCCCTGGTAATGAGAGTCGGCGCCGCCACGGGGCCAAAGGGGCCAATGAAGGAGGACAGCTGGGTGCGGCTCAGGCCTCGGGGTCACGGCACGCTGAAGGGACTTAGGCACCGGACTCCCGTCTGTCCCAGGGACACGTGCCTTCCTGGCCGCACGGCCCGGCCCCCGGCCCTCCGTGGCCTGCCACCACACTGACACACGCGCGTGTCTGCTTCAGAGTCAACGCCGAGATTCCCTGTGAAGGGCTCTGCACGACCACCCACAAAAACACTTCCCTCCGTGAGCCCCGTTCTTCCCCTGCCCTGCCCTGCCCCGCTGCCCGCACCCTCCAGCCCGGGGGACAGAAGCTCTTCTTGCCCGACCGGAAGGGACTGTCCTCAGGAGGAGGACGCGTCAGGAGGACAGCACTGTCCTCTGAAGCCACCAGGACCGGCGGGTCCCCACGGGGTGCGCGGAAGGGATCCACTCAGCCCCACGCAATCAGAGCGGCCGGTGGCGGTATTCTGTGTAAATCACCACTTTAGCATCAGGGAAAGGTCCCTCCATCCTGGAACTCCCCCCCCCCCGCCCCCGGCGCAGACTGGCACTTTCGACCTTGGAAAGAGACAGTAAAACTTTAACCCACGATCCCTTTCCGAGATGAACCCCCCAAACCAGAAAGACTATGAGAAAGGGTGAAAACTAAAGGCCCGAACGTGGCCCAGCTGCCCCGGGCTGCTCTGGCCACTCGGGGGGTCCTTGGGTCCCCTGGCAGAGGACACAGCTGAGAACAGCCCTCTGGGGACGTGTCAGCCCGTGGCACCACCAACCCAGAGGCGGACGGCCCACTCCGGAGGCAGGTCGAGTGGCCGGTGTGGCCGGGAGCTGGCCTGTAGCAAGCCCCTGGGACAGCCACCGCCCCCTTCAGGGCCTGGACCCCAATTCACAGGAGGGAAGCGGACAGCAGGCCGATGGAGGAGGTCACCCAGCCTGGGGCTGGCCTCCCACACCTACCTGCTTCCCCGCGAAGCCAGCAGCAGCTCATTAATTAGGCAGAGAAGCAGCTGAATGTTGCAAATCCTTCCTTTGTAGGAGCCCGGAGCTAATGAGGATCTGCCAGCCTTCCCCAGCCGGCGCTCCCGCCAGCGCTCAGCGCTCCCTGCTGGCCAGGGGGCGCGCCGGGCAGCGCTGGGAGCGCGGTGCTGGAGGGCAAGGGCACCCACAGCCAGCGGCAGTGGGCGCCTGGGGTCTCCTGCTCTGGCTGAGCCCAGGATACAGGACCAGGCTCCAGGAGAGCCCAGCTCCGGGGCCAGGAAGTTTCCAGGAGTGCCCGCCTGACCATACCCGCACCCGGGGTGAAAGGCTGCCCTGTCCCAGAGAACCCTCCGGCCTCAAGGGTCCCGCGGTCCAGGCGCCCGCCTAAACAAGCCCCGAGGAAGGGACCCAGGAGCCGCGCGCTCCAGCAGGCACGGGGAGGGCAGGGGGCGGCACACGCTGGCAGCCCGTCCCGGCTCCCCCGGCCCGCGCGGTCCCCAGTTGGGCTCGGAAGGCGGCGTCCGGAGCGGCGTGCTGCACGCAGGCCTCGCCCGGGCGGCCGCCGGTCCCCCGGCCCCGCCGCCGTGGAGCGCGGGTGCCATCTACCGAGGGCCCGCGGAGGGCGGCGGGCGCCGCTGGAACGGGGCCGGCCGGGGCCGGCGGGAGCGGGGCCGGGCGGCGCGGCCAGGGCACCGGAGCGCCGGGCGCGGGAGGGTCCCCGCCGCCGCTCCGGGCCCGCAGGGGCGCCCGGCGGTCCTGGCGGAGCGCGGCGCCCGCGGAACGTGCTGGAACCGGGCAGCCGCGGGGGCAGCACCCGGGGGCCGGTCGGCGCCGGGGACAATTACCTTCTTTGAGGAACTGAGCGTGGATCACCAGGACGAGGAAGCAGCAGAGCGCGGCCCCCGCGAGTGCCCAGAGCGCCTTCAGGAGCTGCATCGCGGAGAGCGCGCTCGGCCGACGCCCCCGAAGTCGCGCAGCGAAGGTCCAGGCGCCGCATCAGCGCCCCGCGGGGTGCAGCCGCCGCGGCCGCCCGCTCGCGCCCCCCATCCGCCGCCACCGCCGCGGCCGCCGCGACTGGAGGCGCCTCTCCGGGCGGCGATGCGCGTCTTTCGGGCCGGGGGGAGGGGCGGGGCGGGGGGCGCCGGGGAGGGGCGGCGGGGCGGGGAGGTCAGCAGAAAGTCTCCGGCCGCGGCGGCCGCCGCTCCGGCCACTCGGCCACCATCGCGGGCTGCGGGGCGCCGGGGGCCCGGGCGCGGGGGGACGGCCGCCGCGGCCCCATGAATCAGCCCCGCCGCCGCCCCCGGAGCCGCGCCGCCCGCAGGGCCCGGACGGCGGGCCGCGGATTGCGCAACGGCCGGCGGCGCGGGGGGGTGCTGCGCGCCCCGGCCCCTCCGCGGCTGCTCGGCGTCGCCTTCCTCGTCCCCTCCTCCTCCTCCTCCGCCGCCGCCGCCGCCGCCGCCGCCGCCGCCGCGCTCGCTCCGGCCGGGGCTCAGGGGGCCGCGCCGCCGCCGCCGCCGCGGAGAGCCGGGCTCGGGGCCGGGGCTGCGCGCAGGGCGCGGGGCTGCCGCACCATCGCCGCCGCCGGGGCCCGGCCGGGCCCGCCGAGACCCAACTTGCACGGCCCGGGGCCGGGGGCCGATCGCCCGCCCCGCCCGCCCCGGACGGGGCCGGCCTCCGCGCCTCCGCCGCTGCGGTGGGACGAGGCCCGGGCCGGGAGCGGGGCCGGTGGCGGCGGCCGCCGCGCCGACAGGTGGGGCCGGCGACGCTGCGCGCCTCGCCGCCCGCGGGAAGCCGCTGCTCGGCCCGGGGGCGCCCGCCCGCTCGGTCCCTGCTGGGGAGGCGGCCCGCGCGGCGCTCGGACTCCGGCCCGCGCCCGCCGCCGTCTGCGCTCCGCCTGGTCCGCGGAGCCGCCGATGCGCACTGGGCCGCGCAGGGGACCCGGGGGACCCCCCGCCGCCCTGCAGCGCCCCCGCCTGGCGCGCCGGCGGGTCAGGCGAGGCCTGTCCAGCCGAAAACCGCGGGTCGGGCTCCACCTAGGTGCGCAGGGGCCTCACTGCAGAGCCTCCGTGGCGGGTGCGGGAGCGGGGCGGGCGGCCTCGGGCTGCAAGGGGGCTGGGCGGGGGCGGGGGGCGGGGAGGACCCAGGCCCAAGCCCCACTGCCCCCCAGGGCCGACCCGCTGTGGGTTCTGAAAAAGGGCCGCTCTGCCCGGAAACACACACACACACGCACACACACACACTCCGGGGCCTGGTGTGTGAAATCCTCTGGGCCAGCTGCTTGGCGCCCAAGCGCGTGGGAGCGCAGTAAATGCCCGGGGAAGGCTCCGGAGGAAAGAGCAGGCACCTGGAAGGGCAGTATTTCTTCCTGGCCGATTTTCCTCACCTTCCTGGGTCCGGGAACATCAGGCGCATCTACGTTCAGATCACCCCGAGCACAGCGGCCCCGGTGGTGAGCCTTGAGGCACTTTGCGCCAGTTGAATTCAGATGCCCAGCAAAGAGCTCTGGAAGTGGGTTGGGGCAGGGGCCTCTGCTTGGACCTGGCCCTCCAGCCCTGTTTGAGGTGGGGGTGGGGGGGGCAGAGACCACCCAGGGGCAGAGGGTCCCTGTGAGTGCAAGGTAGACCTGGAGACAGGGTGCAGGGGTCATAAGAAGGCTGTTTCCTTCCTGCCCAGGCATCTCGGGACGGCCAAGGGAAAGAGGCCAGGCCGGTCTAGCCTCTCAGTGTACACTTGGGGAAACTGAGGTCTGCAGAGGCATGGGCAGTGGCACCCAATACAACAATAAAGAGTAGGTCAGGACTGGCGCCCGACTCGCTCCCGTCTGCCCCTTACGATTCCGCTGTGCCAGCCCCATGATCAGAGATGGGGGGGGGGGGCTGACAGGCAAGCCCACACCTCTGGGTGAGTCAGCTCCCTGGGCAGCTGGCAGAGATGCCAGTCCCAACACTCACCTGGGGAAGCGGCCCGGATCTCACACCAGCCAGGGCCTCAGCTCAGAGAGGGTCGTTCTGCGGCCCCTCGTCAGAGCCCCACTTCCTGCCCTGTTCCTCTCCCTCACCCCCAAGACACTTCCAGTAACACCCCCACCTGCAGCTATCACTCAGGGAAGCGCCCTGCCCAGCGTGCAGAGTCTGACCTCCACCAAGGTCATTGCCTTCATTCCTCCCGTGGAGCCGAGCCGTCCCCTTCCGAAGGCCGGAGCCACTTGTTTCACCCGTGCACCCAAGACCCCGCAGGGACCTCAACCGGGAAACAGAGCCCGCCTCTGACATCCACCTGTTCCCGAGCAGGTGTATGGGATTTGAAATTTTGAAAAATATCCTAAATTCACCCAGGGAACTTTTAAAACTAACCATTTGCAGGATCCATCTGTAAAGAGAGTTCAAGAAAATAAAGTTCATAAAATGAAGCCTGTGTGGGCTTGATTTTTCAACAGGTGGAATAGGGGTCGTGTGTTCCTGCCATGGGGACCGGAGCAGCCTCCTCCTCCGGGCACTGGGAACCCCCACCAGTAAACGTGTGTGGCGCTGCTGGTAACCTCTGAGGAGGTAACGGGAACATCGGGGGACCCCTGAGGCCGGCGCCCACGAGAGCCGGTTAACAGTACACATCGCAGAGGCCCCCGGTGCCCCAGGAAGTCTGTTCAAGAGTGGGGCATGGGCACCAGTGCAGCCCTCGGAGGACACCTCCAGTTCTGATCAGAAAGACGTTATCAGAAAGGATAAAACTGCCATGGTGCCGGGCCATCTGCAGGCCAGAAAGCATGGGGGGGTCTGGGGCCAGTGGCTGCAGGAAAGGGGCTGCTGCGGAGCCATCAGAAGGATGCCAGGTCCCCCCCACTTCCCCCGTTGGCACCTGTGATGCCAAGGGACAAAGCAGTGCATCCAAGGGGCACTGGCATGCGCTCGCGAAGTGGACACTTGGGGCACAGCGTTGTGTTTCCAAAGCGCCAGGTTGGTTTGTACCCCTGCCCCGCCCCCATCACACACAGCTGGCGTCAGACCACTTTAGCTCAGGCCAGAGCCAGGAGAAGTGTGTCCAAACAGAGACGTGTCTTCAGCCTGGGGAGGGTCCCTAGAGTGCTGGAGGCATCGGACCCCGGATGGAGAAAGTATGTACTTTGTTCAAGGTGCCTTTAACTTACAATTGGCATTAACCTTCAGTCGGGCGAGGAGGCGGTACACACGACAGTTGGGTATAACTAACAGAAATCACGGGAATCCTCATACCTTTTTACAGCTCTTGGGAAAACTGCAAAATGGTGTTTATGTTCACCCTGACCTCAAACTACAGCCGTCCCATGGCCAGACTTTTTTACGTCATGTTTTAATAAAGAAGCAAACACACTACTATATCAAAGGAGACTCTCTGACATTTGATAAAACTCATTTTGACATAGTTAGTTTTCTTAGAAATCTTCCGCATTTCTATGGTGTTCTGAGAAAGGTCCCATAGGGTCACCAGACTGCAAAAGCGAGTCTAGGAATGTCCCCCCCCTCCCCCGGAATGTCCTGCTCGACGAGGAAGCCTGCTGGGCTACACAGCCGGACCTGTGCCGCTCCGTCAGCACTGCGCGCTTCAAACTTTATTCCTATACAGAGAGGGCCTGGCAGACAGGGCCGCCAGGCAGCCATGGAGAGGTGGTGGTATGAACGGGAAGGAGGGCTCAGGATACTGATACTCGACATTTGACAGTGAGGTAGCAGGGTCAGAGATGCTTCAGGGAAAAGCGAAGTGATAATAATCACTCTAAGCAGCATCATTCAGGCTACTGTGAAGAAACAGACTGAAGGAACAAGAAAGGAGTCTTGGAAATGAATGTGCTAGTGAACGTGAAGCTCTACGTACGGACATTCCTGAACACCAGGATGTGGAAAATACTGCCAAAGACGTGTCCCAGAACAGGGAGCACGTGGAAAGAGCATTGAGAAGGGAGGTAAAAGTTGAAGCATGCAGGGTATATCCCAGACGCCGAACTTTCATTCCCTAGAAGTTCTAAAAGAGGGGAAAAAAGGCAACAGAGAAGAGGAATTAGTCAAATAAATGAACAACATCTTCAGACAGCAGGGACCTACCATTTTCTGAGTAGATCCAATGGGCAGGCTCAGACCCAAGAAAGGCAAGAAACTCTCAAAATCTGGCAGATTTTGAGAAACACCACTAACAAATAATAACTCTTTGTTAGCAACACTGCCTTCTAGAAGCTACTGGAGCAGGCAGCGTCTTTAAGTTCTGATGGGAAAAGATATGGCATCTAGACTTTTATACCCAGCTGAACTGTAGACAAAGCAAACCAATTAAGGGTGTTTGGAAGTTCCGTCTTCCCATCACAGACCCTAAGCAAAAAGCTGGCCCAGGAGGACAGTCCAGCTGCCAAAGGAATCAAGAAATGAGCTGTGGGAATATGACATGAAGGAAAACGTAGCCTCTCTTGACTTTTCAGAAGCACAACAAACTGTCAAGAATATACACACAAATACACTAGACCCTCATCGTTGTATGAACCTCCTTCATCGGGTAAAATCTTTACGAAAACCTTCTCTTTTTCCACAGTGCTAGTCACAAATGTGAAACCTGCATAAACATTTGTGTGGTAATACTGGCATATTTTCATTTTTGAGTTTTAAAATCAAGATGTAGAGAAAGCTTGGAGAAGTATTTATAGTAGAAAGATAAATAGAAATTCTTACATCTGGTTTTTTTTTTAATTATATGAAAACAGTGAGGTGGGGAACTGAAGCGGAGAGTGGGCTTCGCGTCTTCTTCCCTGCTGGGGACGTGGCGGAGCAGGTGGCGGCCGGCGGTGGCCAGTCACGGCGTGTCAGTAGGCACCTAGGGTCAGAAGGGTGGGTCAAAGTAAGTCAGTGACGGTTATGGTAGAAGGGCCAGAATGGGGAAAGAGAACACTATTAACAATTCTGTTCCTGGGCCAAAGGTCAGGCTGTAGGGGAGGGGGGGGGCAGACTCCTGCTTTCCACTTTGAATCTGGATTTG